AGGTTCCATAATGCTTACCAAAGTAATAAAAGTCCATATATCTGGTATCAAATTTCCTATCGTGTTTGATTCGTATTATAGAGTATTTGATGGTGAATACTTTTCTCTTTTTAAGATTTATGTTGCGTTTCTTGGACGTAGCAAAGTTAGTATACTGATAGATGATTGGAAACAAGTGTCGGGTGATGTCAAAGATAGCATATTGACAGACGTTAAGGTATTAGTTTTAATTTTCATCATTTTGATATGACTTTCTATAATTTCTAATACATTCTTATTGATTTAAATGTAGTTGACCTTTGAGTTTACGAATGGTGATAAGCACCTAAAAAAATGGGTAAGTCATGCTGGTACATGTTGGAGGAACTTTAAGTCACCTCTCACGTGTGACTATATTAGGAAGCCTAAGATTGATTTTGAGCGTCCATAGGTGAGGTATAGTTTTCTCTGGAAGAAGGTTTGGAAAAAGTTTGCAAGGGGCCATCGTTCTGAGAAATTTCTGGTTAGTACTACTCTTATTTATCTTGATAATTTGATGCCAATGATTTATAGATACTAATCATATTTTCACTATGTTTATAACAGACTAAAACTCAAGAAGGAATATAAAATAAAGCAAAAAACATTTACCCTCATAGATTGTCTCGTGGGGATTATAGAAAACGGAAGGAAAAAAAATAATGGAGGAAAAAAACAATAAATGGGAGATGAGGAATCCATTATTCGTGATCGCAACTCATATCCACCGTCAAGGCATGAGAAGTGGAAGAGGGGTCGACTAAGACCAAATGGAGAGTACACCTCAGATGCGTCAAGAGCAGTTGCTGAGAAAATTATAAGTATGATTTGTTGTGCGTATGTTATGTGTTATTTAAATGTTGTGGTAATATAATATTATCATGCATGTTGTGTAGGATGTGTTAGTTGAGGAGGCTCGTGGAGGCTCATATGTTCCAGAACCACAACATGATATATTAGTCGAGGCTATTGGAACAGATGAGTATGGTTGGCGCATTTGTGGTGTTGGAGAAGGCGTTGGCCTGAGATTATTCTTTGGTCCAACCAAAAAAATCGCCGAAAACATTGAATTACAAGAGCAAAGAGAAAGGCTTGCGGATGTTGAGAAGGAGTTAGAAGAACAGAGGAAGATGTTAGAAGTCGAGCAGAAAAATCGAAAGAAAAATATAGAAAAGTTAGAAGAGTTATATGCGGTGTGTTTTATCTGAAATGCTAGTGATTTATATGAAATGTATGATTGTGTTTTATCTGAAAAGCTAGAAAAGATAGAAATGTATTTATTATGTATTGTGTTCAAAATGAATGTTATGTCGCAGAGAATAAGTGGATCCTTACCACAACGTACGGATAAAAATGATGATAATGTTGATGATCAAGTTCCTCAAACACATGTTGTATGTCATCCTAGCACTAAAGGAAGCAATTGTTCAGCCGCCCCCGCTAAAGAGGTCAATGAATTATTAGATCCTTCTGCAAATGAAATCGCCACGTTATACATTTTGTTTGATGTATATTTGAGTTTGAGTGTTGTAAATAACATTTTTGATGTGATAAAATAAATAAGTATTTGAGTTTGAGTGTTTTAATATACATCTTCAATTGTTATTTCTGTTCTATTACAATTTAAACAATACAGGTTATAAAATGAAACATGTACAATGCAGAAATATATCTTCAATTGTTGTTTCTATTTTGTTACAATTTAAAGAATACAGTTTATAAAATGAAATGCAATGCAGAAATATATCTTCAATTGTTGTTGCTGTTTAAACAATACAGGTTAAAAAAATAGAAAAATTTCAAAATGCAGAAAAATATATATTTTTTAAAAGCATATAATTTAATGACGGTTTTTAATTATGACCGTAATTGTATAGTTATAATATATAATTTAATCACGATTGTTATAGAAGACCGTGGTTATATACGTAAAATGTGTTGCGGATCGAACATGTGACATTTAATATATTACAACTGTTTGGTTATCAACCGTGATAATATATCATGCGCTTTCAGATTTTCTACAACAATTATAAGACCGTGATTGTAAATAGCGCATGTACAACTACACCCTACATAACAATGGCATGTCACGTGTTCATATATTTTATTTTTCAACCATTATTGTATATGTTTTATAAACTTATTTATATGCATATTCATATTCATATGTTTATTGTGTTTCTACAATAAAGTTTAATTATATTTTTAATCTTTGTTATTAAACCTAACTTGTCCGTTTAATTATTATTACATTAGCATAAAGAAGTATATGAATAAAACAATCTCTCCCTTAAGAGCTTTCATCGAATTCAACTTGATTCCTCACAATTATATCCCTATCTCTTTAAAAAAAAATAAAACTAAGAGTATTGAGTTTTTAGAATTCTTACGAATGCAAGTTTCCAAAAATTTTAAGATATCTTCAAATTAGATTTGTTGCTAGTTGAATTTTGCTAGGCGATTTGTTGCTTGTCTTGTCTGCCTTTGCAAACTCACTGAAATTGTCTATCTAGCAAATTTGTCTTGTTTTACTTTCACTTTGTCATATTCTTAATTCATTGAGTCACGGGAAGTTTTACCTAGTGACTTTTCTTCAAACAACTTTTTATCTCATAAGTTAGGTTAGGATTAGGGATGCCAATTTTAATCTGTTAATGAGAATTTTTGCAGGGATTATCTCATTCGAGACTTTAAAGATAGAAAAAAAAATTCTCAAAAACACTTCAAAGCCGGTGATAGGAAATAAAAACACTTCAAAGCCGGTGATGGGGAATATATCTCCCGCCCCGTGGGGTCTCTACTCCGCCTATTTATTTTAATATTTTACAATTATGTCCCATACTTAAATATATATTTTCAAATATACGTATTATAAAATATTTTTTTAACTTTTCAAACATATTCATGATATTAAATTTTACGATTATCTCTCGATAGTTTTGATGAAGTATAATTTTTAAATATATTTATTTTGTTGAATTTTGTAGTTGTTTAATCGCATTGTCACTTAAAAAATATTATAATTTATGTTTTTAAATTTTATAAAAAAATATTATTATTTTATATCTTAATATTATTTTTAATAAAAAATAATAAATGTAAAATACTAATATTTTTAATAATAAAATAAATATGTAAAATACTCGTGCTTTTTAATTTTATAAAAAAATATAAATATTTAAAAAAATATATTAATAGATAAATATAAGATGCACTGAGATCGGAAAAAAAAAACGAAAACATAATTAAAAACTCTCTCATAACAAAAATCAGAGACAAAAATGAAAAATAACGGTGTTCCCGCCACCGCCCGTCCATTGAGATACCTAACCAAGATGACCCATGCTTAGGGCTGGAAATGAGTCGAGTCGAGTCGAACTCACCTCAGCTCGGCTCGACTCGTTAAGAATTGTTCGAATTCGAGTTCGAGTTTGAGTTCGACACGAACTTTTTTTTAAGCTCAAACTCGACTCGTTATAAGTTCACGAACAGTTTGGTTCGACTCGTTAGGTTCATCTCATTAGGTTCAGCTCACATGGTTCACGAACTTAAAAACTATTTTTTTAAATATATATATATTTTTTAGTATATTTGACATTTTAAATAAATATATATTTTTTAAATAAAATATTAAAATAAAATAAAAGTTATCATATTGAAATTTAACTTTATATTTGAAATCTACTAATTCAAAACCTACACAACTTTCAAGAGATACATTTGAGAGTCTAATCAAAAACTACTAAATTGAAGATTAAATTTGTCTAAGATTTGAAGTAAATATTTAAACGTAATCTTAAAGACAGTATAATTCTCTTCATATGTAATCGAGTTGACTCATGAACCTAACGAGTCGAACTATGTATAGTTCAAGTTCAGCTCATTTAGTTAACGAACTTAATTTTTCGCTCATACTCAACTCATTTGGTTCATGAACCTAGTTCAACGATTTAATTGTCGAGTCGAATTCCGAACTATCTTCGAGTTGGTTTGGTTCATTGCCAGCCCTACCCATGCTCCTTTTCAACATATCCAAAATTTATTTTATTGATAGTGAAATATCTTACTCAAAATTTATTTTAATGATAGTCAAATATCTTATCCAAAATTTATTTTATTAATAATGAATTTCTTTATGAAAAAGGAGAGATGATTTTTTTTATTCCTTTTTGTAAAGTCTACGATGGACCTAGAATTTGTCTCAAACTTCAAGGAGCAAGGACTAGGGATAAAATTAAAAATGTTTTAAAATATACTACTCCCTCCTTTTTATCTATAAGAAAAATATTATTTTTTAAATTTATTCAATAATCAATACTCTTATATTTAAATTGTATAATAGACCAGATGTTTATTTAAAAATTAATTATCTAGACAATTAATTTTCTCTTATATATAAAATTAGTATTAATCATCTTTATCTTTATTTGTACTGGATGCTTCTTTTAAACTTCCCCTTATTTAATGTTTTAGATTAACCGTTATCGTATTATTTCAGAACGTATGGCAAAACAACACGGAGTTTAAAAATGCTTTCTTTTCATGGTCAGCAAAATGCTTTTGAAATATTTAAGGGTAGAGTTGACAGGCCGGTTTCATTCAATTTTAAGAGAATTTAATATTCAAATCGGTCCAAATAAAATATATGAATTGGTTTTATTTTTATTTTATAAAATTTAAACAGAACCAAACTAAAAAATCACAAATCGCTAATTGGTTGGAGTGAAACTTGCATTTCCATCAGCTGAAACATGAATGAAATTAACTTGGTATCTCCTTTGGTGTAGATGATTTGTTTATAAACGAAGTTAATAGAACACCAGAAAACATCACACAACTAATGTAATCTTAGCCCCAAAAAGAGAACAAAAAAACCAAAAAGATTTACCACATTTACAACTTTCCAGTAAAACTTTAGGAGGATAAATACACACCTTCCCTCTTCTCCAAAAACCTGTTTTGTCAGTTCAATCATACATTCAATCATACATGCCCTCTAGTTCCCATATATCAACAAGAAAGTCGACCATTTCCTGTAACAAATTATATTGCCATCAGTTACTGTTGGGGAGCGTGTTAACCAGAAAACGACTAGATAATAAAGCATGTTTGAATGGAAGAACTTACTCCAAGAGGAATACGATGAGGAAAAGGCTTGCTGGTCCCAAGAAAACTCTCGTACGAGGCATTCCAACTAAGGAACACAGATTCAAAAATAAGAACATCTTAAAAAGTAACTTTGAATTGAATGCTATGCATATTAGCCAAGCCATAAACCAAGTTCAACTCCCTCCTTAATCAATGTCCCTATATATTCATTTTACAATTCAATTCTGGAAGTTTCATGCAGAAAGCTTCTATTTATTTACCTTATTTTGGGTTCTCCAACTTGTGTCTTTCGCTCGGGTTTTCTATTTCCAATCCATTGTTGTCTTACTTGGTTCCACAGAAGAAGACCTGATTACATTAAACGTGAATGTTGTTATTACCAGCAATCACATGATTCCATTAAGATAGAAGAAACAAAGAAAAGGGTAATAATAGATAAACTGGAGTATAACACCAAACTTGCCATGATTAACAAACTCTGGAGGATCAGTCTGAATGCCATCACTACTTTGAGGATCAGAAAGATGGTTTGACACGACAATCGATGAGATGCTTCTCTGGGATTGAGTTGCACTGTGATCTAATTCAATAGCACTGCTGCTCCAGAAATCTTCTGATCTGTTGTCTTGGTTCATTGTTTGAGCTTGAGTTTTTAGTCCCTTAGATGCATCGGCCTCGCCCATCAAAATAATTTCAAGAGGTTTTGAGAAACATCCAAGACAACCTCTGTTCTGTTACAAAGTAGGTTTAACCACAAACATGATTAACACAATCATTAACTATCATAATCCTACCGGCATGAACTGAAACAAGATGACAATACCCTAATGATATTATATGGCATCGAGTAAACTTGAAGATGCCATATTATATTATAACAAACAATTCTTACCAGTAAAAGGTTGTTTGTATAAACTATACTATTGCAGAGAAACGTAAAATCTGTTGAATATTTTGGTATGCTATGTTTGTCGGAGATTTCTAAGAACAGTTCACAAACTGAAAAATATGAAACTCCTCTTACAACTACCGTGTCTTTTTCTTTTGCACGGTAATAAAATATCTATGTTCTGATTTAAGTTCTTCTGTTTCGAACTACGATGCTAGGGATGGCAAACGGGCATGCTCATCCTGTTTAAGCCCATCCCACAAAAGCCTACAAAAACAGAGCGGAGCAGGGCGGCATTGTGTAGGGTGCGGGCTTCAAACCATTACTCCCCCCCGCATAAAAATGAGAGCAATCAGAGCGGGGTGGGGCAGGCCCGCTCTCATGGCACCTTTTTAGCCTATAAAGACCAGCAAAAAACAGGGTGGGGCGGGGCAGCAGGCACAGCACACCTTTTTAGCCTATAAATAGCAAAAACCTATGTAAATGTGCACCCCTGCAAAAAAAACAAGACGGGGCGGACATATTAGGAAGTGCATGCCTAAAAATTTGGTCCCTGCCCACGAAAAAGTGCACAGAAAACAGGCATATCCAACAGACCAACAGACCAACAGATCGGATCCATTTTGTCACCCTTACTCAAAGCCTACACAACTCTGTACCATACTACCAGACTCTGAGAAATCCGCGGCCGATAAATGTAACCAAGAACAGTCTCTAGCAGACTTTTCATCGAGTAAAACTCATGAGATTAACCAAACTGAGAAAGCTGCTCATGAAATTGGGACGGAATCATCATTAACTAGTAGATTCCACATGAATTTCATCCAAAAAGGAAGACTTTGTTGTTTACATTCATCATAAAAGGGAAAGAATAACAAAAAAATAAAAAACCGTAAAATTTCTCAAATCAAGAAATGCAAGCATAATCTCTCAAATAGGATTGTTAACACACAAAAAACGTCATAGCTTCCTAAAATTTCCAGAACTACTAAATCAGCAAACACTTGATCATCATAAATAAAACCACAACTGGATCTTGCATAAACACAAATTCAAAGTAAAAAAAAATGAAAAACAATAAAGCAAAGAAGAATGAAAAGACTGACCCCATGCAAGCGAGAATCTGACAGAGCCAAGGTGGAACATATCTACAGATAAGCATTTAAGAGATTCAGAACTCAGATCTGTCACCTGAAAGAAGAAGATAATTCAAAACCCTACATAAAGAATCTCAGAATTAGATAAAAGTACCGAAAACAAAAGCGTTCAGTAAAGGGGGGAACTGTGGCGGTGATGGAAAAAGTGAAAGAAAAAATGGAACCTGAAAGAGAACATGGTTAAAGAAAGAATTGCAGTAGTTTGAAAAGGGTTGGGAAAATCAAAGAGTTTGTGGATTGGATAAGAAGAATGGACTTTTGCGCTCTTGGGTCTATGTGTGCGTGCCAATCGCGTTATATTTCTGTTGTCATTTTCATATCGACATTGATTCACTCGAGAACGCACTCTTTACCAAACTTCCTTTTCGTTCTTTAGTAAAAAGATATTCAACCGTTAACCTTTGGATTAGAAAGATATTTAGTAACTAGGAGAAGACTCGTGCGGACGCACGGGTATGAGAAAAAGTATAATCTTATCAAATTTTAATTTCACAAGAAAAAGTATATTCAAATGTATATTAAAAAAAATATTTATACAAATTTTTATTTATTTGAATCTAACTGATTGTATCTCGTGTAATTTTATGAAGTATTTCAATCACATTTTAAACATTATAGTGAAAATGTTGAAATACATAATCAAAATTTTAGACTTTTAATTTTTTAAAGTAATATTTATACATGATTATTTTTTAGAGCAATAGAGTAACATACAATTTTATCGTAAGCTTGTATGGAATAAAAAGATCAAATACATGAGATTTTGAATTATTTGACAATATTAGCAAACCCCATACGATGAATCTCTTATTTTTTAGCTACAGACATAAAACCGTTACATTACATTAACTAAATATTGCCTAGAAAATCCTTATCAGTGATCTTTGTCGATTAAAATAGACTCACTCGCAATAGATTCTTGACATTAAAGTTAATATAAAATTTAAGCATGCAAGGATTAGAGCATAGACAGAAATTGTCCATGAGTCAATAATCATCTTTTCAGTGACATACATTTGGGTATAAATTGAGACATTTAAATGAAGAACAAAAATGAGTATACACCTACCAAATAACAACAAATTATCTTCACAAAGAAAACAAATTGTTTCTTCAATCATATTATAGTGAAAAAGATTAGAATACATAATATCATATTAAAATTTTAGACACATCATCATCACAAGATATATTTATTTATTTTTTACTCAAATCTAATTGGTTGTGTTCCGTGTCACTTCATTTGAGTTATTTAGTCAATTATTTATTTAGTCGATTATTGAAAACTACTTTTTAATGTGTATTTTGAAATGTAATGAAAGAGTATATTAGGGAGTTCAATGGTGTTTTTCAAGCTTAGTTAGATAGATGATATTATTCGAATTCTAAATAGTATACATAGATAGATGATATTATTCAAATTCTAAATATTATATAGGGTTAGATAAGAAAAAATGTGTAATATCTAAACATTGGTAAAAGAGGCTCTTGTTTTAGGCGACTGAATGGCTCCGACAGTATTTCCTCTAGAATTTCATCAACCTATATACAAAAGCATCATTTAGACTAAATTATATGCAAATATAACAGGACTAACACAATGTGTCTACATTAGCAATGGATCATCGACAAAAGAAAATGAAATTGATTAAAATGTTTCTGATTAAAATCTCGCATTGACAGTCAATGAACAACCAAAATTGTGCAAAAATTATTTTGTAGGACAACAACCACCACTTATTTAAACCCAACCAACAAACATGATAAATTATTCAATGAACTGCTCATTTGGTAAGGGAAAAAACATGCGTGAATGTTGTGCTTAAGAACAATACCACTCCAATAACATCAAAACAGGTGCTCATTGCTTTATCAAATCTGCAGAGTAATTGATATCTCAGGTTAGCATAAATTCTAAGAAAAGCACCATAACCAAGTGCATTACTTCTCAAAGTTGGGACTGTCACAGATAATATGTCAATTTCTGTCTATGTTACAATAGAAAGTCAAATACGGGATGTTTTAGTAGAACTCAACAACACTTCATAATTCCTATACTCCATAATCCAGAAAGAAATAAATCACCAAAACCAAATGATACTTGATCCAAGAGTTCACCAAAGGGATGAGATTGAGTCATATCAGAAATTTTTAAAAAAATGCAATACAACAGATAAAACAGTAGCAGCTCTACTTTGAGAAACTTCACTTACATCCAAGAGAAACACTATACCTCTAGCTTCAAAATGCGAGTTATTCGATTACCGTGGACTGCCCAAAAAACAACATTGTTTCAAGAGAGAAATCTAAATTCCTTTTGAATAATTGCACCGTGGACTCCTCCCTAAACAACTTAACAATTAGTGTCAGATATAGAGACCGACTCAGAGGAAGACACCACTTGGTTTTTCCATGGTGCAAACTTGACTGTTCCGGGGAATGTCACTTCAATAATTTTTCCACTCAGTCCCCGTCCACTTGTCACGATTTTCCATTCGACAGAGTGCTCTGAAGTTAAAATTGTTCCCATGGAAGGAGTACCATCCAAGGAAATAATTAGGGACACTTTTGTCTATTGTATAAGAACTTCTGTTGTGAGTATATAGGTTATCAGTATTCATTGGTCCGAAATAATTGAACATTGATCAACTTTTAGAATAGGCCAGAATAGAACCTGGTATGCTGCAATTGGCAGTGGAGAATTATCTCTAAGTAACCTTATGATGTCCAAATAGGGAAGGCCGGGTTTTACCTGCACATCCAAATTTTCTAAAGTCAGTGTAAAAAATGAGCATATGATGAGTTCCATTCCTAACTATGATCATACATATAAAGAAATAAAAATAAAACTAAACCAACCAAAAGAATATCAACTCCTTCTGATTCATCTTCCCTCATCTCAGTCAAAACCTCTCTGTAATTAGCTGGATTCATTTGGTAGCTTTTGTTCAGCTAGACCAAATTTATGGCAAAGTAAGATTCAATTATGTAAAATAGATTAGATATTTGATATGAAGTTTGATTTCAAGATAACACATACGTCTTCTTATCTCCGAATCGGGGGTTTGAATCCAATGCTTCTCTAAATGGGCCATAAAATGAGCTTGCATACCTGTTGGTAGCAGATAAATGGCGTAACTTAGGATTGAGTTATATAATTGCCAAGAAAAGATGCATTAACTAATAGCAACGTCAACCAAAATATTAGTGAACTCAGTGACAAATGAATAGCAATTAGCAAAAATGGTGAAATTGTTCAGTGCATAACTAACGGAATTCGAATGCTATGATTATTAGCAAAAGGAAGATAAAATTGTGTATAACTTGCATAAGAAACCAGGTTATGCATAACATAACTGCTTCACTTATAAAATTGTAAATGTCAATATGCCACACATTTTGAATATCTTCACCGGTACCCAATGCTACAACTTATAATAGATAGCCATCGATTCTAAGTTCATATAATCTTCAATAATTTCCAATGCATGCTGGCATAAACAGAAAGTAAGATAAGAAAAAATAAATGACCATAAAATTACTTTGCAGTATATGACATAATAGAAACATGCTGAAAGCCTTTAGCATCAAGAGCCACTCGCATCGCTCCTACCCGACCGTCCATCATATCACTGGGGCTGACAACATCTGCTCCAGCCCGTGCCTTTTATAAAATATAAAGACAATATAAATTGCGTTAGTGTCTTACTGTGGATATAGAATGAAAAACTTAAAGTTTAGAACATAGAAGCATATGACAATTTCACCAATTAGCAATGCTTAATCATTAACTTTCCTAAAGTTTTATAGAAGTTGATAAATTTGCCTTTGAAGGCTACACTGTAGGTGAGTAATTTGTTTAGGAAACCCTGAACAAAACAATGGGTAACTTCCTAGAAATAGTACAAAACTCCATTGTCAAAGGAGATTTATAACCTTCCATTAGACGTAACTTAAATAGAAATGCACCTTTATCCTCATAAACCATAGGCAACTGGAGACAAACGATGTAAAATAAAGGGTACAACAAAGGCTGACTTTGTGAGAACACTATTACATTGAAGATGGACTTCGATTTTTTCTAAAAAGGAAATGTCATTAAACCATGCTAAAGGTCACACAGAAGAATGAAGATAAAGAGAAGATTGGGAAAATATGAGATATTCTCTTTATTTCCTAAGAGCAGATATAAAAAAAGTAAATTACTTACTGCTTCACCTCTGATGATATGGTTTGCTGCATTCAATATACAATGGTTACTTGTTGCACAAGCTGTAGAGATAGAATAATTAGGGCCCATCCACCCCTGCAAACCATATAAGAAATCCACCCCTGCATTTAATGTCTGAGATTAAGCAAAAAACAACCGTTAACTGATTAACAATGACAAATGGAAAATACTCAGCTCATAAAGCAATGAAGACAATTAAGTGATTTTCAAACAAATCAATTAAATCAATGAAAAGCTGATAAAATAAGTGCTTCTAAAATCTCAGACATTGTAACAGCACAATCAAAACATTTCTTTATCGGGATCTAGCTTGTAAATCTGGTACCAAACTCAAATCTCATGAATGACTTACCTCCCAAGACTAAAACTCACAAGAACTAAGCCAGAAAATTGCAACACCTATGTCGAAACCATGCATAATATACTCTCGGGCCCGTGTGATTTGGATATGGGATGAGAAAAGTAATAGTAATAAAATTCAAAAGTGCATCAAAATCATAGTTTATACAATGTCGGGACTAAGAATTTGTGTCTGAGAAACATTTTCGTAATAATAATGGATTATAAGATCAAATACCTGAAGTTGGGCATGGTTTAAAAGGTGATAGTAAATTGTTTTTATGCTAGACCTCAAATTTCAAATGACTCTCCTGAGCTCTCCGGTATTCAGTGCGTATTGGCAGTGCTGGGACAAGATTGGTGCCACCTGAACTGCTGCTAGTATTGAAACTAAGTCATCAGAAGTCGGTTCCTTATGTTTATTAGCTCCATGCA